CTTCCAATTTTCTGATATCATCCGAAGGAACATCGGCTATGAATTTATTTTCGTCATTAAGGATGGATAACATTTTTGTTTTATAATCATTTCTGTCCATTACAACTACACCAGATCCTTTGTCAGGTTTCAGAATAACTATATCGGATCTATTACGTAATTCCTTTAGGGCTTTAAAATGGGTTGATGTTAAAATGCTTCTTTGTTTTCGACTTGAATTACGGAATTGGTGTGCAACATCAACAAATTTAACTTTCAGCCAACTTTGGTCATCTGTCGAGGAAGGAGTTAGAGAACTCAACTGATCATACAAATTTTCAAACTGAGAATCAATTGCTAAGTCCGAAATATTGTTTAATGGGATAGAAAAATTGAAACCAAGTGATAACACCTCCTTTTCATGTAATAAAAGTTCAACCGATGACAGATTTGTCACATACTTATCAGGATTTAATGGGAATTGGTTTAATTCAAAGTCAGAGGTACCGGATCCAAGCAGTTTCAATCTAGTATTCTCTTTCGTCTTATTAACGGCAGAGCTACAAAAATTAATAAACTTGCAGCGATTTCTTCATAGATTAGTAATTTTTGAAGTCCAACCATCTCTTTCTTTTTTCAACCTAATCTAGCTGGGCACAACACTGTTCCTCAGAAAATGCAATGACACAGAAATGGATAGCCAGCTTACTCGGCAAACATTCAAAATCTCTAAGGCGTATATTCAGGAATAGTTAACTGTGGCAACCGAATAAGTTATAACGTGGGTTATAACGATATTAAAAGGCACAGTTGAAAATTCTATTGAGTGCAAAATATGATTGTTCTCTCTGTCCCTCTCTCTCTCTCTCCCAAATACATTCTGCTTGAATGAGTTACTTGGATAGCAAGAGACAAAGATTGGTCTATACATATATGTAAACACTTTCAGCACATAAAGTCATGCTAAGTCAGTGATTAAACAAACTGCAACTTGTTGTCCAGGCCCAAAGATTTGGTATGAGGTTAAAGATTATCTAACAAAAATTATAATATCTACGTAACTATGTGGAACAAATAAGGAAGAAACAAAAAATCTTCTACCTCAGAGGTAAATAGCTAGCTTAAAATACCGCTTCTAGTTTCAGGTAGGTGCTTTTCTTAGCCGTCTTAATCGATATAACTTCCAAACCACCTAAGCAATTGACTTATCCTCCTCCTTACCTGTCTGTCTGTTTTCGACATAGAACTTGGCATCGATATGCAGCAGTTCAATTCGCCAAACCCCCTCCTTGTAGCACACAAAGCAACAGAAGAAATGCAGAATACAAACACTAGACAGGGATATGAGGCAAAAGGAATAGTAATAACAAAGAACAATATACAACAATGGTATACGAGCTCGCCTTGTAACCGGAAGGTCCTGGGTTCGAATTCCCGTGGGTGCGTACTGCTGAAGGGTCGAAACTAGGAAGAAACAGCTGTCCAGTACTCCCAGGTTTTCCAATGGTTGTCTAACTAATGTCAGCTCATGATGAAATCGTGAAACCAATCAAATCCCTACAAACCAACTCTTGAATACCAATGAGATACTCACTGGCGATTGGCCCTATTCAGGTAGGTAGTTACCTGGGTTCCAGTGGGAAGTCGTGACCAGTAGGGTGCAGCTGGTCGGGTGTGAGGACAAATACTCGCCGAAGACATTGGCTAACGGTCGCGCTATGTCGTGAATTGGCAGAAGTTAGAATTCAAGGACCATTGGATCGGGTCCCAGTGGCTTAATGGTATACGAGCTCGCCTTGTAACCGGAAGGTCCTGGGTTCGAATCATTTACAGCATACCTACGAATCTCAATTTCGCCTTAAGAGTTCGACTACTAAATATTGCTGAGGCTGGCTGTTGGGATCCATATTAACAAGCCTAATTTGTGCATCCAAAAGAAGTTAGTTCAGACATCATCATTACCTCATCTAGTCATCTAGGTTCGAACGATCCTGAATTTTTGTGGAATTTTCCTCATTTTAGTTGATATTCTATTTGCTACTATATCTTTAATATGTGCGTCGGTGGCACAGTGGTTAGGACTCTCTCATGCACATGGTTCGAGGTTCGATCCCCTGCCGACGCACACCTGATATCTATGGTCGGCCTGCCAAATTTGGGCTACCGATATCCATGCTAAAAATTCCATACTTGTACAAAAAATACAGTGTGGAATCAAGCTGTAATCAAAAATAAAAAAATTCTTATTTATATATTCATCATTACATCCTTTCTCTATTTCTGTCCTTCTTCTTTCATTCATCGGATGTGTATCTATGATGACTCATCATGTATGATCTATGATTATGACTTTAGGGAGAAGAATTATAACTGTGTACGATGGATGCCGCGGTACATACAGGCGGCTTTTCAATACTTCTGCTGCGTGTTACATATTATCTGTTTCAATTAGTCGATATTTTTATTATTAAACTAAACAATAATCGAATCCTGTTCTCTTTTACACTGCAGTCAGGCGACCGTTCTGCCTTAGTTGTTTGCTACCATGTCGCTTCCACAGTGTTCCCCAGTATTATATTCCACTCTGATGTGGTAGGTGTCTTCACTGATGTTTCATATCTATTCTCCAACTTATTCCTAATGATTACAGAGTGAAGGTGTTCTTTGTAGCTTCGTCGACTATTTTTTCCAAGTATCAAAGTTGAATTGTGGTCTGTCTGTGGCTGCTTCAAAGCTTCTGAACGTAAGCTGGACGCGTTTCCTCACACTACACTAGACGGTGATGGTTGGTCTGTGCTTAAATCTACTCCTCAGTACAATCAGCCCCAACGGATTGATCTCCGACGAAATCTCAAAACGGATACAGAGGGTTAGTTTCGTGTATATGCCAGTTTATACCGTCTCTAGCTTGGTGGACGAGATATCCGACTATCGATCAAAGAGCGGGTGTACTGCTCATCAGTCCGCTCCGTCCTCCTTTATGGCTGTGAGACCTGACCATTGAGAATGGAAGACATGGAAATGGTAACTAGCTAGCTGTCTTTGATCATAGGTGCCTGCGCTCTATCTCCCGTGGGAAGTGGTATAATAGAGTGACCAATATTGAGGTTAGACATCGGTCGCGTGCTAGGTAAGGAGGGGAAATCAATCGACGAGGCTGTGAAATTGCACCAACTGAGATGGTTAGGACATGTATTAAGTATGCCTAGCCATCGCCCTCCTCGACTGATGGGAATAGTTAGCAGACATAGGGTCAGGCTGGAAAAGAGCTAACGGCGGTCAAACCAAAACATGGCCTCATCAGTCAATGAAATCCACAACAGTTAGTTTAAGCCACGTAGGAAGGTGTGGACTTCCTGACTTGTTTTGGGTCCTCAGGACGCTAAAAACCAATGGTTGGAAACAATTGGTGATATGGCTCAAAATCGTTTTCAATGGCTGGTGCAGTTAGATGCATCCACTCCTTGTGATCTGTGATTTCCTATGAAATTACATTGTTCTTCGTTACTTCTATTTCCTTGACTCACACCTCTGTTTACTGTCTCTATTATTCATTTCTTCTACTTCTCTTACTTTGTGTGGTGCACGGAGTGAGTGTGGCGACTTGAACTGCTGCACATCGATGCAATGTTCTATGTCGAAAGCAGACAGACAAACAGTCTCACACCCAACTCTCCCTCGTTACCAGCCTTACTATCGGCTTAGCAAGGTTTGTTGGCAGGAGATCGAACACTGAACCGCGTGTGGCGTGGTTGGCGAGCGTTCTACCTTGAGCGAAATACCGATACGCTTCTCTACATTTGGTTTGATCAATTTAGTTGGTAGATGATAGATTTCATTAGTTAAGAGTAGGGGAATGTGGCTGTACTGACGACTGCCTACTTCCAAGCATCAGAGGTGAAGCGGTTCGAGTTACCTGCCACAACTCCATATAGCACACAAATGGAGAGAGAGAGAGAGGAAAAGCGATTCAAAATGTGACTGTACAGTAAGCAAAAGTATTCATTCAGACATCTATAAAACAGAAAATAATTGAGAAAAGAATATCCTTTTCGATAATTTCCTCTTCTGGCTCTATAATTATTATATACATATGTTTATACACATGGAATATCCTAGAATAGTAGTCAATAACAATATTAGTGCTTTCTTCAATAATATCGATTTGTAAGGTAAGATCAATGGAATTACAGTTCCTTAAACATCCTTAAACATTATAATAATGTCTGTCTGTCTGCTTTCGACATAGAACATTGCACCAATGTGCAGCAGTCCAAATCGCCACACTCACTCTGTGCACCACACAAAGCAAGAGAAGTAGAAGAAATGAATAATAGAGACAGTAAACAGAGGTGTGAGTCAAGGAAATAGAAGTAACGAAGAACAATGTAATTTCATAGGAAATCACAGATCACAAGGAGTGGATGCATCTAACTGCACCAGCCATTGAAAACGATTTTGAGCCATATCACCAATTGTTTCCAACCATTGGTTTTTAGCGTCCTGAGGACCCAAAACAAGTCAGGAAGTCCACACCTTCCTACGTGGCTTAAACTAACTGTTGTGGATTTCATTGACTGATGAGGCCATGTTTTGGTTTGACCGCCGTTAGCTCTTTTCCAGCCTGACCCTATGTCAGCTAACATTTCCCATCAGTCGAGGAAGGCGATGACAAGGCATAGGTGACACATTTCCTTATCATCTCAATCGATGTAACTTCACAGCCTCATCGATTAATTTATCTTCCCTCCTTCCCTAGCACTTCATCTGTATATATGTCTCACTCAGAACGCAAAGATATATATATATATAAAGGTTGAAATAAACGTTTTTAAACAAAGCAAAAACTACTACTTATATATATGCGTATTTATTTGTATTTATCGATCTTCAAAAAAACTTATTGACTGGAAAAATATTGAATAAATTTGTGTTTAAATGCAGTTTGTTTGTTTGTTAGCTAGTATGCATATATATATATATATATATATATATATATATATATATATATATATATATATATATATATATATATATATATATAGATCAGAAAGTACACTGGTTGAAAACAATTTCTACACAATTCACAAAGAACAGGACAGACTGATTGGTCGACTGTGTATGTATGTGCGTGTGTGTGTGCCTGTGATCGATATACACTGAAGTAAGTAAGGATTTTGAGCGAAATATTATTGTATATGTATATGTATATATATGCATAGTTAAGAATATCACTGATAATTATCAATATTGTAGGGTAATAATAATAACAGTAGTAATAAGATAAATAGTAGTACTAATTATTATTCACAAAAGACGACTCCCAATCGACCAAAAACACAAGGGGTTTCACATTTCTGGGAATAAAAGAGCAGTAGTAATAGTGGTATATTGGGTGGAATTGCTGCGGGGGGTGGGCAGGAACAAAAACATAAAAAATAGGGGGTACGGGGGGTGAGGAGCGATTACACACACACACATACACACACGAACACAGATTGAATTGGCAAAAAAATACAAACAATGTTGGTTAATTAGTTAGTTACTTCGTCAGTAAAGTAGGTAGACACCAGTTCTGGTTTCTCATCATTGTACACATGAAATATTATCGCCATTCCTTCACAGTATACTTCACTCCACTCTACACTACTCTACTCAACTCTACACAACACTACACAGTAAGTATTGTACATTAATAGTAAAAAAAAACGGGAACAGGGAAAGATATGTTGAAAATCACAAAACAGTACCAAAAAAAAATGAAAGAAAAAATAAAGTTCAAATTTATTATTATAACACCGCTACACGCACACGACTACTCACACTGGGGACAGCTACCACTCACTCACTCACTACATACTAAAAGTCTTTATCTTCTAGAAAACTATAATGAAACATAAACTCCTCTTTTTTTCGTTGTCGCATTGTTCTAAAATCATAATAAATATATGATCCAGATTCATATTCATCTGTAATTTGTTTCGGTTCTTCATGACGTTGAAACCACATCATAAATTTGGTATGAAATCGCCATGACATACGTTTCAAGGCTTTAGCAGCTAAATATTGTGCTTTAGTGCCTTCAAAATAATAGAATATAAAGAACAAGGTTTGTGCATCTAATTTCATATAGTATTCTTCACTATCTGTACCAACTAATGGTTCACGTGGATAATAACTTGGACAATTCACAGGATTTTTGCATACAATCATACGTGATCGTTCTGTATCACAAGGATGCGGTAGCCGACGATAACCACTTTCTAAGGCTTGAAGTTGTAGAAGAAGCTAAAGTTTTAAGAGGAGAAAAAACATTTGAACAAAAAAAACAACATCAACAAACGTGAAAAGATGGCATACATGGATAGATCAACATATTATTATTATTATTTTTCATCAGAGCTTGATTACACAGAGTATTTTGTGTGGAGGTCGACAGCACTACTCAATATGGAAAATAAGATCCGAATTTTCAACTTCAATATGAAGTCAGTCCTACTTACCTACACGGACTAGAGAATGTCAAGTAATCCACAACGGGAAACTCACGAAATCCTTCAAAGTGAAGATGGGAGTAAGACAAGGTAGCTGGCTGCCTACTATATCCAATAATTTTCCTGATTGAGGTAGACTGGATAAGGTGACCGACAGCGGGTCGGGCATCGAGGAGACTGGCATAAAATGGACTTACACAAAAGACGTAGACGATGTGGACTTCACCGATGATATTTGTCTGATTTCTCACAAACTGGAAAATATGCAAGTGAAAACCAACATGTTGGCAGAAGAAACATGTAGAGGAGATAGGACTTCAGGTGAATGTAGAGAAAACAGAAGTGATGAAGATTCCTGGCCAACAGCAACAGCAACAACAGACAACAATCAGCATAAATCGGAGGAATATGAAGGGAGCAAACTCATTTGCCTACCTACCTGAGAAGCATCGTTTCAACTACTGGCGGATGTGACTGATGAGCATATCATCGAAGCAAGGATCGGGAAGGCAGGGCAGACTTTCATTTCTCTCAAGTCTGTGTAGAGGTCATCAGCACTACTCAGAATGAAAACTAAGATCCACATCTTCAACTACAATGTGAAGTCAGTCCTACTTACCTATACGCATCAGAGACTTGGCGCCACTTCAGGTCATGAAGAGCACCTCGAACAAACTACACACCATCAACAGCTGTTTTCGCTCAATACTACTGAAGATCAGATGGCCGGCCAAAAAAGATCAGAAACAGGGAGGGATCTCTGGCAATGAACAAACCAACCCAGCAGGAACCAATTGTGCAAGAAATATGCAGGAATAAATGGAAGTGGATTGTAGGCCATACTCTGAGAAAACAAACCACCATCAAGTGAGTGACATCACACGCCAAGCCATTGCTCAAATGGAACCTGAATAGGAAGCGACGATGTGGTCGTCAGTCCGAGGGTGATATAGAGGATGTCATACGAAGAGGAGATGAAAGAATGTGGGCAGACGTGCAGACAAGTGAAAACGTTGGCAGAGAACCGAACGCAATGAAGACGTGCTGCTGAAGCCTTATGTTCCTCTAGGAACTAAAAGAAACAATAATAATAATACACACAGTATTTTAGTACAAGTATGGAATTTTCAGCATGTGATATCGGTAGCGCAAATTTAGCAGGCCGGCCATTGATATCAGGTGTGCGCGTCGGCCGGGGATCGGACCCCAGACCATGTGCATGGTCGGCGAGCGTCCTAAGCCGCTGTGCCACCAACGCGATTAAATATGTGCACAATGTGTTGAACTCAGTCCTCTTTTCCCCAAAACGCCCACCTACCCCGAAACAGGTATTTCATACTCCAAGCTATGAGAGCTGCACTTACTGTGTGAGGAGGCTGGTAATATTATTATTATTCTTACTTATTATTATTATTACTCATTCAGTTGCCCAGGCTTTAATAGGATGAGAGGGTTCGAACCATGCACCCATTGACTGCAAGTCAAGTGCTGAAGCCACGTGTCGCCACGATGAGATGAGCTACATAAAACTATTTCTGATCAAGTGAATGATAACATATTTCTTGTAGATTGATTTTATATCGGACTAAAATGTTCAGTATTTGTTGACATGTCGGCTCTTAGTATAGTGACATTATCTAGTGGCTAATGACTATCACTGGAATCCAAGACGCGCATTCCATCCTATTTGGGACTCGTAAGATGGGTGTATCTAAAACCACCAGTAATTGAGTACTGGTGTTCCCGTTGAGACTCGCACCCAGAGCACTCATCATTTTGAAACGATGTTAAGCATAAAACTATATTTATCATTGTTCCCTTGGATTCTGAGAGGACGATAGAGCTTCGACAGCATACCTCTCTATCTTGTCGTGTCCTCTGCAATCAACTTTAGCTGGCATCACCACTGCACATAAGCCTTCATTTGCTTCTTTCACACGATCTTCTACGTGTCGCCCACAGACACACACACACATTTGGTTTCCATTATTCAAGGGTCTGGTACGCGGTGTCGCTCATCTCCATTTTCTTCTGCATACTTTTGTTGAGCAATCGATTCTTGTTGCTAATGCTTTCTGGACATCTAATCTTCACAGTATGGAGATAAGAAAAAAGTCTGTAGTGACCTGTTGAAAAGAGTTTTTGTGACGTGACAAGTCTCTCTGACCCACACTGAAATGACTTAACATTTGTGTTAAAAATTCAGTTGACTTGCCGTCCCGCCAGTTGTCTAACAAAGGGTAGTCTCACACATATGTATAACTTTAATTTCAAACTGAATGCAAACAATGCTACAGCCAAAAACAACTATGACCGCGGTTATAAAACTGTAACTCCCATGAGTTACTTACTGTCAGTCAGTAACTAACTCGGTCAGATAACCAAAGGGAACTACTAGCAAAAAGTAAAGACATTCCGTCTATGACAAGTGTTTCGATGCCCACATGCCAATGATATATGTCTGATTTCCCACAAACTGGATGATATGCAAGTGAAAAGCAACAATTTGGCAGAAGAAGCAGACAGAGAAGATAGGACTTCAGGTGAATATAGAGAAAACAGAAGTGATGAAGATTCCTGGCCAACAGCAACACCAGCAATCACAACAGACAACCTACCTGGGAAGCATCGTTTTAACTACAGGCGGACGCAAGTGATGAGGATATCAGAGCGAGAATCGGGAAAGCAACGCAAGCTTTCATTACTCTAAAATCTTTGTGGAGATCAACAGAACTACTCAGCATGAAAGTGAAAATAAGCTCCGGATTTTCAACTCCAATGTGAAGTCAGTATTACTTGGGATACGGATCAGAGACTTGGCGCCGCGCCGCGTCACGAAGGACACTTCGAAAAAACTACAGACCTTCAAAAACAAGTGTCTTCGCTCAGTACTCCCCAAGATCAGCAAAAGGGAGAGGTCTCTGGCAATGAATGAACCAGCCCAGCAGGAATTAATTGAGCAACAAGTTTGCAGGAAGAAATGGAGATGCATTGGAGGATATACCCTGAGAAAACAAACCACCATCAAGTGAGTGACATCACACGCCAGACCATCGCTCAAGTGGAACCCGAACGGGAAGCAGCGCGTTGGCCGTCAGTGCGAGGATGACATGGAGGAGGAGGTCGTGCGAAGAGAAGATGAAAGCATGTCTGCAAACGTGCAGTAAGGTGAAAACTTCGGCGGAGAACCGAACGCAGTGGGGACGTGCTGCTGAAGCCCTACGTTCCCGTAGGAAGTAAAGGAAACAATAATATTAATAGAAATGAAAAGGTGTTCAGCAAAGAGTTACTCTTTTCGGCGATATCATTCTCAAGCTGTACAAATCGCAAATTTATAGTAATTTGTCTTGGCAACAAAAGGAATATTTCCAAAGATGTGTTAATGCAATTGTTAATTTTTGACAAACAAATTACGTAATTTAGAAGGCGTTAATCGGTTAGAAACTAAAATAAAGTTACAAAAGTAGGTTGGGTGACGTAATCTAATTGATAGGGTTCAATGAAAAAATGAATGAGAGTCAAGTTAATAATCTGAGTAGAATTCACTTGAAAATAAATGAGAGTTAAGTTAATAAGCTGAGTAGAATTCACTTAAAAATAAACGAAAATCGAGTTAGCAACAGTCGTCATGAGCGTAGAGATTTAATAGAGGGTGGGGGTAGAAAATAATGCAATTAAGAAATAGACAAACAAAGAAGAAAGAGGTAAGACAAAATTACGTATTTGGTGTTAAGATAGATCAGGACCATTGTAGATTTAGTGACTGAACAAACTTCTTTTGTATGCAGAGTTCAGGATTCAATATGTGAATTGCCATTGCTTCTGCAGTTTGAAGAAGTTTAATTCGTACTCTTTTGGCAAGATTCCCACGTATTGTGTAGATAACTGAGAAGTTGTTTTGTGGGTTTGCTTGGTGTCCGGATTCGATCAAGTGTTCTAGGATAGAGCTGTGGCGGGGGGATCTTCTTTCTCCTTTATAAAACCATGAAGGTAAGTGTTCGCTGATTCGTTTGGATAGCAAACGCTGGGTACGGCCGACATACCTAGCTCCACATGAGCAGGTGAATTGGTAGATGCACATTGATGAGGCCCCCAGTGGAAGCTTATCCTTCACGTTCGTGCGAATCATTGGTTTCGTAGAGAAAGTTAGTCTGAGTTCCGCTGCGAAGAAGGTTTTCTTCAGTGAACGGCACAGGCGGTTTCTCAGTATTTCTGCTGAAGAATCTCCGTTGAATTGTAGATTCAAATAGAGAAGTTTCTTGGGAGCAGTAAGCATGGATGGTTTTTGTGTTTTGGGCTTCATAGCTTTTGTGATGAAACGTTCCGGGTAACCGTTTTCAAGGAGGATTCTTTTCAGGGTCTTCAGCTCTTCTTCTATAGTTTCCGGACTGCAAATGTTGTGGATTCTGTGAGTCAGTGAGCGGATCAGATTTCGTTTTGTATATATAGGCACCCAACTGTGAAAGCTGATGAGTTGTCCATTCCATGTCGGTTTTCTGTGAATGGATCTTTTGAGTGTCCCATCTTGTTCGCGTCTTGCTAGTTGCACGTCCAGAAAAGATATTGTTGCGTTGGACTCCTTCTCTAGTGTGAACTGGATTGCTGGATGGCAACTGTTGAAGAAGTCCAATATGTTCTCCAAATTTTCCTCATTATTGGCGATAATAAAAGTATCGTCCACGTATCTCTTGTAGAATCCGAAGTTATCTATTATCTTCTTTAGGTGTGTATTTTCTAGTTTTGACACCTTTTCATTTCTATGACTGAATGGGAATTTTCAAGTTAATAATGTTA